TATGAAGTTCATATATTTTGTACTGCGGTGTTAGATACACATGATGCACGATCCTGCGCACAGGATCGTGCATCATATGTATCTAATTATAGAGTCATAGTCATAATTATAATTACCCACAGTCATAATTATAATTTATGACCCACAGTCATAAATTATAATTATGACTGTGGGGCCCAAACCTGTGAAGCGAAACTAAAATGCGATCTTATCAGAGAAGAGTATAATAAAGTTAAAGTTTTTTCATTTTGAATTGTATGACAATTTCTCTTAATAAATCCCAAAAGTTTGTTAGCTTTAGAGACAGTCTGAATTATATGTTGGTTCCATGTGAGGTCCTTAGTGACTGTAAGCCCAAGGTCCCTTTCTTTGGTGACAAGATTTATCGCGGTATTGTTTAGGTTATATATACGTTGTAAGCTAGTTTTCTTTCGGCTTATTTTCAGATTGTGACACTTTATAGGCTGGAAGTACAGTTCGTTTAAGGATGACCAGTTGCAGAGGAGGTTTAAATCATCTTGGAAGTCACAGATATCAGATGCAGCTTTGATGGTTTTGAAGCATTTCGAGTAATCAGCATACATAGCTAGAGACGAGGACTTTAGAACATTCGGCATGTCATTTTCAAACATCAAAAACAGTACGGGGCCTAAAATTGATCCCTGTGGAACACCTGACTTAACTATACTCCAGGTTGAAAAACTAACATTTACGACAACACGCTGTTGTCGCCCAATGAGATAACTCGAAAACCAGTCCGGCAGTAAACCGTCAATTCCAAACTTGCGAAGCTTTGACAAAAGTTTCGCATGACACACAGAGTCAAAAGCTTTAGAAAAATCTAGATAAATGACATCAGTTTCGAGGCCACTATCAAGAGTCTGACCAAGTTCGTGGAGGACTTGCAACAGTTGAGTTGTACATGACAGACCTTTAAGAAAGCCATGCTGCATGTCATACAAACAGGGAGAAATATGCGCCAAAAGATGATTTAGAACACATCACTCTTGGACTTTTGCCAATATTTGCATTAAAGACCATTAAAGAGATTGGTCGATAATTTTCTACTTCAGATTTCTTTTCTTTCTTATGAACAGGACAAACATTTGCGGGTTTCGATGATGATAAACAATAACCATTGACGAAAGAAGAGTTTATAACCGCCTCCCGGTTAGCTCAATGGATAGAGCGCTAGACTGTTGTGCGGGAGGTCGAGGGTTCGAGCCCCTGCCGGACCAACACTCAAGGTCTTAAAATAATCGAGAAGAATTTGCTACCTTTCTATGACATCAAGAAAGGGTTAGATATTCTAGTCTTCTCGGATAGGGACGAATAAATGGAGGTCCTGTCTCCTGCAGGGTTGGGG